CAAATTTAATTTCCTTCTCGAAAGATATCGGAAAGAGATTTAGTTCGAGGCTGAACGTGCACGAATCACAGGGGTGGGGGGGGGGAGCGGGTGGAGGAAGGATGGGAAAGAGAAAGAGACAAAGAGAGAGAGGAAAGAAAGAGAAAACTCCAAGTGTACTACAAATTTGTCTCCTTTTTTTCCTCTATTTCGTATTTTATAAAATATTATTTTGTTAAAAATTTTTTGAGAATTACGACAACGATAACAACTATAACAAAATATATAAATAATTTTTTAAGTATATATATATATATTTTTTTTTGTTTAATATTTAAATAGCCTATACATATATATATATATATTTATATTTATTTATTTATTTGTTTATTTATTATAATTTTCATTCTCGAAATTGCACAACGAATTTATTTCATTTTCACTCTTTCGTATTTACAATAATTTTATTTTTCATTTTCGAAAATGTTCATTTCTATTCTGACAACATGAATAACATAATAAATGAATAATTAGAAAAATATTTATAACAGCCTATATATTATATAATTTGTATTTTTAATTCTGAAAAAAAAAAAAAATAATGCAGAAGCTTTTCAATTATATTTGGTTTATTTTTTCTTCTTTTTTTTTTTTTTTTCTTTGCTTTTTTTTCATACTTCCTAGGATAGGATTTTATTAAGGGTTAAAGCTTTCCCAAATGAGCGCCTTACTTATTTTTGATACTGAAATTGACTCCTAACAGGATTATCCCAAAGAACTCTCAACTTCCTCTATAATGCTATCTTTAATACCAAAGGGATGACGATACAAGTTGCATAGTTCGGCTTCACGTTTGACAAGCAACACTAAAACTAGTAATAGTAGTAGTAGTAGTAGTAGTAGTAGTAGTAGTAGTAGTAGTAGTGTAGTAGTAGTGTAGTAGTAGTAGTAGTAGTAGTAGTAGTAGTGTAGTAGTAGTAGTAGTAGTGTAGTAGTAGTAGTAGTAGTAGTGTAGTAGTAGTAGTAGTAGTAGTGTAGTAGTAGTAGTTGTAGTTGTAAGTACCTAATAGTAATATAATATGACAAGTTGTCTAATCAATTAGGCTAATACTTAACAAAATTTACTTGATACGGCACGTATACTGATCACTTAAGTTAACTCGCTATTTGTTCGAAGAGATTAAAGAAAACAACGAAACAAAAGAAAATAACCAATAAATGAAAACGAAAAGCAAAAGAAAAAAAAAGGGTTGTGAAGGGGGGGGAGGGATGGGTGGGACATAATAAAGGAGAAATCGATAGGTAAGGAAAATTTAGAAAAAATAAAAATAAAAAACGAAAGAAAAAGAGAAAAGAAGGAAAGCAAATTCGAACAAGATACACAGAGAGATAAATGTATATCTAAATAAAAAATTTTTATTTATGTTAACTCCTAACATTTCCATGATTTTTCTTTTAATTATTTCATGCTATGAGTTAACGATCCACGTGATTGGAATAACTCAATCATACTGAAGATATGCGTATACTCTCTCTTTCTCCTTTTCTCACACACACACACACATATATATATACACACGTATACATATGCATCCATTCTTTCATTTTCTCAGAAACAAGGCATTGAAATAGTAGAAAATTGAAAAATTCGTCGTATGAAGAACGACGAGAGCTTAAAAAGCAATTTTTTTTTTTTTTTTTTTTTTTTTTTTTTTAATGAAAGAAATGAAACTTTCATTCGAAGAACACGAAGAGGGTTGGTCCACCTTTAATTATCGATAATCGATCGAACGACGAAAATTCTTTAAGATTTTTGAAAAGTATCGTTTCGATGCATATTCTATTCACTTATTACCTGTCATCGAAATTATTGCCGAAAGTGCAATTTACTTTAAAATGTGTCATCGTGATCTATAAGTATGCTCTCTCTCTCTCTCTTTCTTTGTATATGCTGTGTATGTGTGTGTGTTTATGAGAAAGAGAGATAGAGAGATGTAGGGATATAGAGAGAGAGAGAGAGAGAGAGAGAGAGAGAGAGAGAGAGAGAGAGAGAGAGAGAGAGAGATAAAGATAGAGATAGAAAGCTTCGTACTTTTCTGCCTTTCACACCGTCCAAATGAACTCGCTCCTAGCTTTAATAGTCCCTGTGCGTGTGTGAATTGTAATTTGGATTACCACTACCACTAAACACTAACACGTGATACACGTTCGTAATTATTCCTTGTAGGCGTTGTCGCATTGTTTCCAAGCGGCTAAATCTCTCCTGATTGTGAGCCCCTTTCTTCGCATCATCCACTTGTCTTCGTTTTATTTCTCCTTTTTTCCTTTTTTTTTTTATTTTTTTTTTTTTATTTTATTTACTTATCGTTTCATCGTACCTGTTAGATCATACTTAAATACTTACTTAAATCTTACCTGTTAGATCATACTTAAATACTTAACTTATGTTTTTTTTTCCTTTTCTCATTTTTTTTTTTTTGTCTCCCTGATAAATAATAAAATAATATTTATTGTAATATGAATGATACATATACACACGGAGATATTTTATGATGCGATATTCAAATAAACGAGAAGAATTTTCCAATCCATCGAATTCTTCCTCTTTATCCTCTTCTTCCTCTTGCCATTTTAACTTATCATCACTATCATCACCATTACCAACAGACGACATTATCGATGCTCACTGTAAACTACGTCTCTCCTAGGAGCAAAGATAGTAACTTTAATAATAGTCGAGGATGTTCCTTCGGGACTAACTTCTATTCTACTTGTACACACACTCTGTCTCTCTTTCTCTCTCTCTCTCTCTCTCTCTCTCTCTTTCTCTCTTTTTCTCTCTATTTTTCTTTTTTTATCTTTTTCTTACTCGAGAACTTACAACGAGGGAATGTGTATCCTGATTCGAAAAAAAAAAAAAAAAAATTGACGTGTATCCGAAGTGATAATAACGAGGTACGAGTTGGACGACGTAAGATACTTTCTTCTTTTCCGATAAAAATCAAGATATATGTCTATACACACACACAACACACACAACACACACACACACACATATTGTATGTACACGTGTATTCTATTTAATCCTGCAAACCTCAAAATAGTTTCAAGTTGTGCGCTTGGGATGCGCTACAACCCCAGGGACTTTTAAATAGCTGTCGTTTTTTACAGAATGAATAATTTTGACTCCAAAAAAAAAAAAAGAAAAGAAGAAGAAAAAATACTGTATATTCTCTGAAGCCTGAAAAATAATACTCAAAAATAATTATCAATAGGTTTGAAAATGCAATTCTGTCATAGTAAAGAAAAAAAAAAAAAAAAAAAAAGAAAAAAAAATTCATGAATCATGCAACGCGCAAATTATTTTAATTGAGCTCAAATTTGGTCTGGAGTGATCCTACATCCCAATAGATACAATTAGGATTAAAGATGTATTTCTTTTTTTTTTTTTTTTTTTTTTTTTTTTTTTTTTTTTTTTTTTTTACTGATTACAATAATCATATACAATACATATCATTTTTAATAAAGAGAAAGATGATCATTGTAATCGTTCAAAGTTTCTTTTTTTTTTTTTTTTTTTTTTAAGGTCACCTACTTTCTCTTACGATTTGAAAAGACAATAAGTAGCTTCTTTTATTTCTTTATTTCTTTTTTTTTTTATTTTATATATATATATATATATATATATATATATATATATATGTATATAAGTGAGAAGATGTAATTCGGTCAGAGTTGACTTTCTTTCTTTCTTTCTTTCTTTCTTTCTTTCTTTCTTTCTTTCTTTCTTTCTTTCTTTCTTTCTTTCTTTCTTTCTTTTTTTTTTTTTTTTTTTTTTTCTTTTTTTTTTCTTCTCAACACCCGCTGTCATCATCGTCGTCGTCGTCGTCGTCGTTTAGGTTCTCGTTGAGTATCGTGCCTTATCTAAATCTTATGTTAGCTGGTAGAATTTAGTCCTTAAGTTAGTTAAAAGCACAAGAATTTGCGGTTTTGTCGTACTGAATTCCGAACACTAGAAAAGGCAGCAGTTGAACGTGTTCCAGTTTCGAAGAATGAAGCAAGTCAGAGAATAAGGAAAATGAAATAGATTTACCAAGAAAATATATCAATAGAATTTATTTCATTAATAAATTTTTCTTTTTTCTTTAATTATATTATTAATCGATACACATCGTTTTTGGATAAATTCAAATTTATTAATAATAAATGTTTAAAATATTTTCTTTCTTTTTTGTTCGATTTGATTGATATAATTTGAGGGAATATTGAAAGATTATTTCATCTTTTTTCTTTTTCTTTTTTTCTTCTTTTCTTTTCTTTTCTTTTTTTCTAAAAAATACATCTAAACGACACATGATCTTAGATCAATGATCTTAGATTATTTCTTACGTTGACATTACTAATAACAATAATAATGGTATTGAGATTAACTATGTATATATATATATATATATATATATACATATGTATGTATAGATACGTAGATCTATATATCTTGCTATTTGACTATCCTATAATCAGATGACATTCGAACGTTCGTCGATTCGATTAATTATGCATTCCATTCTCGAAACGTTCGTCGCTAATTAACATTATGAATCGGGATACCTGTAAAATTCCTATCGTACACTCAACGACAAATATGATGTCTGTCTATATACGACGCAAAGTATGCATAATTTTAAATGATCGTAAAAGAATTTATCCACGTAATGACGCGTGTACTTTCGTGATTTGATTTTCATTCTTCGTTCATTCGTATATACATATGTATGTATGTACATACGCGTTAAGTCGAAAATCCCTTTGGAAAATAATTTTATTATTAGTTTATACTAATAATAATAATAATAATAATAATAATAATAATAATAATAATAATAATAATAATGACTAAATCAAATATGTTTGGAATCTATATTAGAAGGATTAAAAATACAAAGATATGGTTAATTGAATATTTATTATCATTACAGATTATAACAGTAATAACAATAACAATTTATTAACATTTTCATTGATATTATTTATTATATGAAAATAATATCTTACTTAATTTGATTGAATTTAATTAAATGTTTCAATGTGCCGCGACTACGAGCATTAAGTATGAAGTACTGCTAGCTGGTATGCGAAAATGTACGATAACTTTGGACGATTCGAGTGTTGATTCGTCGATACAAGCAACGGCATTACTGCCCTGATTGTTTATAACTTGTACGTAGTTGATAATACCTAAATGAGAAGAAAAAAAAATGGAAAAAAGGTCGAAGCAATCGAATTGATTTAAAGTTTCGATTTTTGTTACAAAAGGGACAAAAAAAGAAAGAAAGAAAAGAAAAAAAAAAGAAGAGATACGTGTATGAACGTTGAACATATTCTAACATTATTGTAGGAGAAATTAATTAATTAATTATATATATATATATACATAATTATATTTTGTAAAATATATATATATATATATTTATTTATTTATTTATTTATTTATTTATTTTCTTTTTGTATCGCGTTATATAGTAATCGATTTAAGATTTCAATGAAAAGTATCGTACACATAGACGAAGTATAAACAAAATAAGAGAAAGCGTAGTAGCTTACGTGATTACATTATTTTGTCTACGACTGACATTGAGAGTGAAACCTACAGTGTTTGACTCGACGTCGAAGGATAAACACGTTCGAAAGCCTTCAACGTTTATTTTAACGTTCTATCATCATCGCGTATGTATATAATTATAATTAAATCAATAATTAAAGTTCAATTAAGAATAATTCTTCGTAATTTTTTAACATTGTGAAATCGTGAATAATCAAATCGAATTGAAACTTACCATTTGGTACGGTCAGAGTTATCGAGAAACTATGGATTCTATTTGTTGGATTATCGAATTCTAAAATTCTCCTGTAGACAACTTCATTTGGATATCTAATGCCAGTAGAAATGTCTCCGATGAACGCCGTAGAACTATCAGCTGATGATGCTAATTGTTTCTATAATAGAAATAGAGAAATAAAATATATTTTATTGTCGTCACTTTTATTAATTATCGATGTTTTGTCTTCTCTCTTTTTTTTTTTTTTTTTTTTTTTTTTTTTTAATACGAAGTAGCGACGTAATGTCGAACGAATCATCTCCAAGATGTTACATAAAATTAATTATTTAGATCGAAAAGAATGAAAAATTAATTAATTAATTAATTAACTCTATTTAACGTTACGTATGCATGAAATTTTTAAGTCCGTACAACACCCATGTTTACTTTATTCGAATTTTATTTTATTTTATTTTATGATGACAATATTTTTTTGTTTTGTTTTGTTATAAGTTATACTTAGTATAATTATGTCGAATATATAAGTTAAATACATATGTATATATTTATATCAGTATAATACAACTTTCATGTTATATAATTTATGTACAGACTCGAAAGAAAAAAAAAAAAAATTAGATTGCAAAGAATATAGCCGAATATCGAACGAAAATGGTTAATGGTAAATATTTTGTTTTCATCGATTGTTCGATTTAATCAATTTAATTAATTTAATTAATTAATCAATACACATATATTTTGCTTTTTAGTTATACGTCGAACGGTAACATTTATTGATAAATATTTTCTTTTTCTCCAATTATCAAATTATTTATTGTTAGTTTCGGCGTAATCATTACAAAAAAAAAAAAAAAAAAAAAAAAAGAAAGAAAGAAAAGAAAGAAAAAAACAAAAAAGAAGAAAACATTATTATTATTATTAATTTCTCTCTTTTCTCTCTCTCTCTCTCTCTCTCTCTCTCTCTCTCTCTCTCTCTCTCTCTCTCTCTCTCTCTCTCTCACCAATTGGGTTTTCTCCACAACATCGTTTTCGGTCAAGCTGATATCCGTCTTCTTCGTTTTTGAAATGTCGATCGCCGAAACGATCGTCAAAAACACAAGTCCGACGTGGAACAGAGAGACGAGGAAGAATGAACGAAACATTTCTTACGTTTGTTTGTACGTCGTTTCGTTGTCTCTTCTTTTATATAAAACCATCGAAGGTCCGAAATCCTGTCGAACGAGTTTTA